AGCCGATATTCCGTGGGGTGGGGTGGGGGGGCCGGGGGCTCGGATGCTTGGATGCTTGTCACCTTTTTCATACCTGATGAGTTTGCATCCCTGACTACAGTTGCTTCAGCGTGTAGAAGCTAGTAAGCCTACTATTTGATTTGTTGTAGATAGGCACAACATGTTTCATATGCAGACCTTATTTTCCTGTTCTATGTTAAAATAAACAATTTTCAGTGGGAATTTTTTTTGGTCATGGAAAATTAGGNTCATACCTGATGAGTTTGCATCCAGAAGCTAGTAAGCCTACTATTTGATTTGTTTTAGATAGGCAAAACATGTTTCATATGCAGACCTTATTTTCCTGTTCCATGTTAAAATAAACAATTTTCAGTGGTCATTTTTTTTTGGTCATGGAAAATTAGGTAAAGGTCATTGAGAAGTCATTGAAAATCATTGGTGAAAAAGTGTATGAACCCTGCTGTTAGCTTTAGGAACATTTTTCATGTGTCTCTGATGAATAAACCTGCCTGTTACTTAACCTTTGTGTTTCTTTGCATTGACTTTTAGAGCTGATCATCACGGCAGGAGGCGAGAACATCCCTCCGGTTCCTATCGAGGACGCGGTGAAGGAGGCTGTGCCGCTCATTAGTAACGCCATGCTGATCGGAGACAAGAAGAAGTTTCTGTCCATGCTGCTCACCATTAAGGTGAGTCTTTAAACTGAGACCTGAGGCACGATGCATTTGTGGAACTGGGTGCACAATCCTTACTTTAAACTCTACAGTTAATCATGTAAACTTTATAGAGCTCCTTAAAAACAGACTTTATATTTAAGGATGAATTTAAAAGATCGTAGACAGGGAACTGATGGCTTGAGTGTAAATAAAATGATCATATCCTTTCAAATTAGAAATACACTTTTTCCTTTTTACACAACATTGTTTGGACAGCCATTTGTATTGGTTTAATTATTGTTCAAACAACCTGAGCAATGTTTTACTGTAAGGTGCACATACTTTTATACGTTTGTTATAATACATGTTTTTTGTGGATGTGTGTGCTTTATACATCTCGCTCCAGGTGTAGACTTTACAGCAAGCTTGATTATGTTTCTGGAGCTTTAATCACATTTGAACTAGACGACGGCAGGGCACTGTAGTGAGTAAAGAAGCTGTAGATAACAGGCTGTGGAACACAGTCAAAGGTATCAGGTACAGACTGAAGATGTATCTTGTCAGCAACACTGTATCTAAGCCCCGTAAACATCCTATCTTTACACCTTTTTTATCAGAGTCAATATATCGGTCTTATCTGATAACAAAGGATCATCTGTTAAAAGTGAAGCTCAGCCATATTATCGATTTCCTTTCAGATTCTGCCATCTAGTGGGCATTAAAGAACTGCATGCTTGTGTAGCCAAACAATTGTAAACGTTCGGCAATAACTTTTTTCAAATGTTTGACTCCCCAGTGCCAGTTGAACGCAGACTCGGGGGAGCCAGAGGACGAGCTGACTCCAGAGGCTGTGGAGCTCTGCAGGCGGCTGGGCAGCAACGCCACACGAGTCTCTGAGGTCACAGGCGGGCGGGACCGGTTGGTCCACGCCGCCATTCAGGAGGGAATCAACCGAGTGAACGAGAAAGCATGCTCCAACGCTCAGCGCATTCAGAAGTGGATAACTCTGGATCGGGATTTCTCGCTTCCAGGAGGAGAGCTGGGTGAGTGGGGCAGGTGGTCTTTAATCAGGGATTGTTATTTTCCTACCACAATAATCACCTTATGGCTTCTAAGTTGGAAACCACATTTTAAAAAACTGTTGTTATATATGGTTTGCTCTAGTCACTAATCTACGCATCTATAATCAACAGTCAAAAGGTTCATTTTATATCAGAATTGCTGAGGAAACTTTAATTTGACATCCAAGTTTTTTCTTATTCTGAATGTTATAACATGTGGCATTCATAGAAGTGTTTTAACCATAATATTGTGGGGGAAATATTTTAGAAGAGTGTTGAAATGTCTGTGTGCTCAACTCTGAGCATGAATCCTTACGGCCGGGTTTAGACTAAAACACAAAGTTTTAAGTAGCCACATGCTCTTCTTTTAAGTGTTTTAACAATACATTCCTTCGTCCACAGGCCCGACCATGAAGCTGAAGCGGCCGGTGGTGGTGAAGATGTACAAGGAGCAGATTGAGAACTTTTACAAGGAGCTGGCGACTCCAACGACCCCCGACAACCCGCTACCCCCCAAATAGAGCTGCTCCTCCGCCTGTCTGAGTCCCCCGTCCTTTAGTTTGCCTTAAATTGTTGTCGTTCTGTCTCTGTTTACATTTGTGGGTGTTGTACAAAAAGAATAGCCGACAGGAGAAGCTATTGTGAAATATCTGAAGACGGTATCAATAAGCTGACGTCTACTGTTTGTCTTACTGAGGTGAACAGTAATACAGAGCAGATGGAGTAGCAGTGGCTTTATGTAGGAAAATGTGTTTATTGCACTGCGTTACTTAAGATGAAATGACAGAATCAAAAAAATGAAGTTTAAATTGTGTTTCAGCATATTTCTTAATTTATTTTTGGGTTTGCCAAAGTTTACATGTTCCAAATGAGCTTCACATGAAGAAAAATGTCTAGAAAGAACAGCATTTGTGATCCAACAATCATCTCTAAATGTTTACTTGCCTACATGCACGTGGTGTTTTTTTATGCATCTTATGTTTAATTTTGTTTTCTGCAAAGGAAGCTGCAGTAACCAAACGTGGTGTTGAAATCTATCTCAGAACTAAGCATCCAAATGTTCTCGTGCTGTGAAAACACGTCATTGAAGCCATATCTCTTGCCTTTTGTAACTGTGATGTCAGATTCTGTTCTGCTTGCTTACTCGATGCAGATCGTTACACACCTGCCTGGTTCTGTGGAAATGTTTTCCATCAGTCCCTCTGTGTGTAGTCCTGCTTTGATTTTTTGTGAAATATTGTAAATATATTTTTGCCTTCATCGTCATCCATCGCTTGATTTGAGTTTACATTTTCCAGCAGTGCAGAACTCGCATGAATAGTTTTTGGGACTCAAACAAGTGCACCTGGACTTAAAAATGTACATAAATTAGATCACATGTAGCTTTATGGCCAATATATCAACTTGTCTGTGGCATCCCTTATGCATCATCACTCGTCAACATGTTTTGACCACATATCTTCAGCCTCTTTGAAGACATTACTTACGTCTTCAAAGCAAAAGTAAAATACCTTGTATATAAATGAATTGTGTATATAATAAGCAAAGTTATTGGTAGCACTCGAATTAGTGAAGGTTATGGTTCTCATGAAGTTCAGGGTAAACAACAAACTAAGGAAATGACAGTGATTCAGTGTGTCTGAGTTACCTGACCCGAAAGAGCTGTTGTTAATATCAGGGTTGAAAAAGATGGAAATCTGCATGAAGCTACAGAAAAAAGGATGCAGGCCTGTTTCTGTCAACAGACATGTGAATGTTTCTGTCAGAATAAAAGTTGATTGAGCACAATGTCTGGAATTGCTTCGACAAGACTTCTTTGAATTTGCAGAAAAATAAAAGTGACTTACTTATACTGCCGGCTACAAGCTAAATGAAAACACATGGTCTGTTCATCTTCCTGGACGGAATTGTAGTTAAGTTATTAGTAAGTATAGTACTGTGCTTGTCCTGCTACAAGTCAAAATGTCTGATTAGAAGCATGTGTGTTCAGCCGACCTTCATACAACAGGTTGAAAAGGCTCCATTTGATGTTTAGGTAATAAGGGTCCAAGTCAATTCCAATAAAGTGAAAATTCAAAAACACTTTCCAAGTTAATTTGTACATATTTGTTAAATGTTCAAGTTAAAAATAAAGGGATATTTCACCAGGAAACTAACATACTATAGAGCTCTATATGTAATGTTACATTGCAATTTCAAATAATTGTATTCATCAATTAGGCCTATTATAACAAGTCAACAAATGTAAAAAATCCATTATGTTTTTCCAGTGAGTTTTAGGCATTTTCTTTCAATAAAGAGACTAAAACAGTTGTTGATTTACTAATGGACTAATCAAATAACTCAAAAGCATTTTCATTAATGTTTTTGCAATATAGTTAATGTTTGTATTGATACATTTGATTTGATTCGATATTCACTATTTAAATAAAACAAAAGATCGTCAAAACATCTGTTCAGAAATTCTAAATATGAATGTGTACCTTTGTTCCCCATGGTCTATCACACGACATTAAAGAGACAGATGACTCGGTATGAGCGGTAAAAACTCACTTTCCTTTTGCTCCGTGCAGAGCTGCGTCACAGAGCACAATTTATTGATCAACCCTCCCTCCCTGTAGTGACACTTCCTCGATAGATGGGCAATGCATCATAGGCATTAGGCATTAGGCCCGGCCCACTGCGTGCCCTTTTCACCCCTCAGACTGCAGTGACCACCACACGACCTTTACATGACCCATGCACTCGGCCATGACCGGGTCACTGAGGGGTCAATGAGGACCAGACACACACAGGAGCAACAGTACTTAATGACTTTATTAATAATATGATTTCGAAATAAAAAACAACATTAAAATAACATGTTTTTCCTTGTTAACAACTTGCATCATATGGCCACATGGTGGCATTGTAATGCAAAGTCTTTATTTTCAAAAAATACCAAATTGTTCTGCACATCCAGTTCATTTGTTCTGCTTGGACCACATATATGGAACACATTTCGGACTCCACCCTCCCCCCTTTACCCCCAGTTAAAAAAATCAAACCTTTATAAATACAGGCAACCCTGTGCCCCTGTCACAGACACATCATGACGACCACTGACACAGGAAACATCCCGTCTGCACATGCCGCCCCCCCCCTCCACATATTTGCAAAAAAAAAAAAGTCCTCCACCTTTAAAGATCCACACAGTAGATATTCTACCTTTGCTGTATTATACATGTATTATATATAATATTGTCTCAGCTGAAATGATGCCACACTCCCACAGACCTGCACAGAGTTGCTGAGTGAGAGGGACCTGAAGGGTTTCGCTTCCCCTTTTTCTTTATTTACACCCTCAGTATTGCCCAACATAGAACTCTTCCGGATAATGTACTGATCATAAATGTTACAATTTCTAGAAGTTTCTGAGACAAAAGGAGTCTATGGCTTGGCGGAAAGTTCCTAAAAATTACTCCACCCATGAGCCTCCGCACTCTTTGCCATGGAGAAGGAGCCAATCAGAAGCACACGCCATATTTGCCAAATGTATGTATTAGTGACTACACAATGTATAGTGAACAGAGTTAAACAGCAGAATGTAAAATCGAGGAATGTGACAGATTTTAAACTTGGTGATTACATGATTCTTGCCTCAATGCTCCTTGGGAGTTGTACTTAATCAACCAGATATAGACTAAATTACTGAATCGGAAGAGTTCAATGCTAAAACAAAGCAACACTGTGCGGTAAAAACGAAAGGCAGAGCAAAACAGAGCTCCCCCCCACTTCACAACTCTATTGTTTCCTATGATGTGTTTCTTCAGGCTTCAAGTTATCATAACATAACTACATTAGGTGACCGTTTCTGGTAAAAACAATGAATGAGTTGACAGGACATGAGGCAGAAAAAATACATTTTCAGTTCCCTGAACCAAAGTGTTTTTACTCCTCTTGTCCATGTTCTGGTTCAGTTTTCCCTACTGGAAGAAGAGGTGATAAAGTTGAGCTCATCCAGCAAAAGTTTTCCTACACCTGTTTCTTGGTGTTCAGCTGTCATCAGAATCCTGACACACAAAAACATACCGGAGACTTCCCCCATAACGTTTGACGCCTAAAATAGATCCAACAGGCATGTTTGGTTGTGAATAATAGTGACAAATCATGCCAAATTAAAGACAATTAAATAAGAAACAAACGAAGAAAGGTTGGCAAATGAAAAAAAGAATCAATTCATATCGTATTGCATGTAAATATTGTATAAAATCCTTAAAAATACAGTTCAGGTAACTACGTAAGTACTGAAGTCATCACAGCCAAAAGTGCAGAGGTCCATAAATAAAACATTGACTGTGGGCAGACAGTGGGGCTTCTCTCGAGTCCCCACGTTACCTCCCCTTCTCAACCACCGCAGGGGACTGAAAGAGTGCCCGGTCAAAGGTCAGAGTTCATGAACGAGGACTTTAAAGTTCCCACATCGATGCACAGAGGAGAGGACAGGAAGGTCGCTTTTTAAAATCTCTCCCGTCGCTGACAAACACACTCGCAGATGCAAACGCACTCACACAAGTTGCAAAGTTCATTCTCAGTAATTACGGCCTCACGGAAGTTCAGTTGTCAGAGGCACACCTAGAGAAAAGGAGAGTGGGGCCGGGGAAGAAGTGAGGGCAGGGGGGTTACTGCAGGGCACATAAGGCGGCAGGAATCCAGGTTATTTTTCCATTTTTGAGACATTTTCTGTGTTCAGACGGCGTTTACAGTGAGGGAGTGTGTACATGATGAGCAGGCAACAGAAAAAGAGAGAGAAGTATTAAAGCTATCGAAGCGTCAGAATAAAAACACTGTCGGTAAGGAGGGAGGGAATCCCTCAGTGAAGGTTTGTACCAGTGTGTGTGTGTGTGTGTGTGTGTGTGTGTGTGTGTGTGTGTGAAGCCTAAAGGGGCCACAGGAACTAACACACCAGGGGCCTGAATCAAGAAGCAAGCTCACCTCATTGGCTTTCTTTGGGTGTTTTCTGGCTTCCCAAAAACACTGGGGATCCTGGAAACCGGTCTCAAAAAGCTGGCTCTGTTCACCCACATTATGTGTAACAACAAGTCAGTATTTTAGCACAAACTGTGGAGATCTCCTTTTTGGAAATGTTGTCAGTGCAGTAGCAAAAAGTTATATTCAGTGACTTAAGAAAAAGATATAAAAATGTACAGTAGATGTAACAATATTTACATATATAACATTAGTAAAGAATAATGCTCAAATAATGCAATAATCAACTACTAAATGTAATAGACCATGGCTAAAAGTGGGCATTATTGTATTGGCTTTATTCTCTTTTCTTTATCAACTCCATTATTAACATGTTCAAGAGTGATAAGAAATAGATAATGGTCATTTGTGCTTCAGTGTTTGTCGATGAAAAACTAATTTATAAGTAACACTGTCTAATGCAAAAAGCTGAAGAGTACCATGTGTACACGAGAAGGACATTTATCTCAAATGATTGCTCATGATTCTACGGCCACAGCAAATCAAGGAGTTGGCTGGCTGGCAGCTGTATATTTGAAGAGGTTAAACATATGGATACCTGAAACTTGGATCCTGTCAGTGCAAATTCAGTTTAAATTGTTTGAAATCAGTGCACAAGATATATTAAACTCTATGTATCCACAGCAAATAAACTAAAGATGTAAAAGATGATCTCACCAGTTTTACTTCCTTTGGAAAGTGTCCGCTACATAGGTGTGATAATGTGTCATAAAAGACTCAACATTAGTTCACAGTCTTCTAGAAGCTAATTTTCCATTTGAGAATACAACTTGTTAAAATTAAGATACCATTAGGGAGTTTTTCTCTTGACTCATGATCAGGGTCCATTTCAACTAATTTGTGTTTGTGCTAGAGTCATACCTTAAATGTCTTCTTTAGTTAGCATATAAAGCTAAGTGAGTTTACTGATGAGTAAACATGTTGCTTTGTGCTCGGTATTACTAATCGTTTACAGTGAGCCAGCTTTGTGAGACTGTCCGCTTGGTTAAAGTTATCGGCCAGAACTCTGAACTTACTTCATGTTTCAGGCCTCTGAGATATCCATTTCAGATATTTAGGGAAAGAAAACACAAGGAAGGTTTTCTTTAGCTTATGTTTCTGCCTACACGACCCTTTGTGAATGCTCTTCAAGTTCCTGGTAACTTAGTATCAAACACTTCACCCGTATTTCTAATTCTTCCAACAGCTTGAAGAGGGAACCCCGACCCTATTCAACGACAACCGTCTCACAAAACACACGAGAAAGCTGAAGCAACCGTTACTAGAGCTAATGAATGTGATCAACTACCACGCAGACCTCTTCAAAACACTGAACCTAATCTCACAAAGCAGGAAGATGAAAACATGAAGACCACCATCAGGGAGATATAGCAGTCAGTGCTAAAAGGACAACAGCCTATAAAGACACTGGAGAAGGAGAAGCAGGGATGGAAGCCGTTAAGACAATACTGGATTTTCAGGCATCCCTTTTAACACTTGTTTCCCCGAGGGGGGTATTTGGGGCGGGGGGGTTTCAATCTGTGTGACCATGGCTAACAGAGTGCACACCCCCCCTCACACTGCAAGTCGCAGAAAAAGGCACTAGAGTGGGGCTGTTGCTAGCCGTAGAAAAGTAAAAGCGATATACATTCATAGCTCACAGGTTATCTTAACCGCGGTCTGGGAATAAATACACAAAACACACTTGTAGAAAAATAAAATGTAAAAAGGCGTGGCCCCTATTAATTTTTTTCTTATTTTTGGATTCTGGGAGACAAGTATGGCTACTTTTTCACGGCTTTTTAAACCCCCTTCCCACCCTCCCCTACCCACCACTTAGAAGGCAATTCAGGAGTGATCCTCCACTGCTCTGGCCGCGAGCAGTCGAGCCCTTTCATGCACGCCAATTTGAGAAACAGGGAGGAGGGATGAGGTGAGGGGGCTTCAGAGGGAGCGGGGGGGGGCATTGGTAGGAGGTCAAGGCTCAGCTTTCAGTGTGAGGAAGTAGAGGAGAAACTCAACAGAACATGTGTTCAGACAACAGAAACCTCATGCAGGAAAGACTCACACACAGCACACGTCTCAGTGTTATGTGTACAGTGATAGGAACAGAGACAAATTCTGGGTACCAATTTAGTTTAACCCCCCCTTTACGATTTATAATAACTGCAAAGACTTAAAAGGTTTATAACACCCTGCAATGTGGTTATAAGCAGCATTTAAAGTGTTCATTAAGAAACAGTAGCTGTCAATGGTTTGTATTTTTCTATAGTGCTCATTCATTATCAGTTAAAAAACAAAATAAAAAAGTTATAGTTGACTTACCTATATCTGCTTACAACTACAATATAGTATTTATTCATGATTTATATACTTCTTAAAAAATGTTATCGGGTGGGGAGGGTTAAAGTAAAAGATGACCTGAATGTGTGCGTGTTTGGCCTGGTGTGAAAGCGGCAAACTGACTGTTGTTTGTGCTCAAGCTTTCCAAAAAGAGAGAAGTCGGTACCACAAAGACAACATCTCCTCCTAACCCTCAGCAGCGATCGAATGCACGCACACCCACACACTGCACAGTCAACACACACTCGACTTAAAGAGTATGTGGAGAGAGAAATGAGCTCCAGCTGACGGCAGGGGGAAGGGGACTGAAGTGTTCTGCCGAGTAAGGAGTGTGCGTGTGAAGGGGGAGGAAGAGGAGGAGGAGGAGGGGAAGTATTGGGTTTGCAGAGGCGGGAGTGCAGGAGGGGGTGTGGGGTGCATACCACAGCTTTGCACAGGCTCAGTAATATAGAGTAGTTGATATCCTGACTGTAGGCGGAGTTCAGCCGCTCCGCTCCTCCTCCTCCTTCAGTTCCCCCCCCAGCGTCACGTGAAGGCGGTGTGTCTTCATGTGTGCTTGTGTTTGTTCGCGTGTTTCTGTTTGTGTGGTAGTTGTTCGGTGGTTCAGTCAGGCCTGTGAAACAGCTGCGACGTGATGTGGTTGCTCCTCCTCTCCTTAAAAAGAGGAGATGGTGGCGCGTCTACCTCCGCCGCCTCCATCCACACCAGTTCCCACTTCCTGTCACGTGGCCGTTGCCTCCAGGTAGCTCTGTAGTTTGCGGACGGTGGACTCGTCCAGTGAAAAGAGGTCAAAGTCAAAGGTGGTGTTGGTCACGTTGAAGTGGCCCGTCTCCTCGATCAGGTTCACAATCTGAGAGCAGAAAGTGATCAGTTATCATTAATAACCTTCAAATAAGCTGGTCCATCAGATCACTATATTGCTGAAAATAACTCAACATATAAAAGTTCAAAACTTTCAAAACCTTTCTAAAGAAAGCAATTTAATGCTTGTATCACGGCCACCATAACAGTCTGATTGAAATCAGAAGGGACATAGAACATTTCTCACTTTGATATCATTTTAATCTAATGTATTTCACGTGGCCTGGACCCTGAAAAGGTGACAAAATAAAAAAGACAAATAAATAAACCAAATAAAAATGATAGATTGATTAAAGTTGAAAGTCCCGCAAGGAGACAACAGATATACATACAAGGTTCTCCACTTTTCAAAAATGCATTTTGTATTTATTCCTTTTATATTGGATAAGTAGTTCCAATGCAATTTCTAGAACTTGACTTATTGAAGTATGGCATGATGTTTATCCTGTGATGGACAGTAAGAAGTTCAAACACACACCTGCTGCAGGACGTTCCGCTCCCTTAAAGCCATCAGTCTGCGGTGGAGGTCCACCAGCTCTTCCGTGTACGCCTGCAGAGTGAGCATGGTCAGAGTCAAACAGGAGCTAAAGAGGTCACAGCTTTTCATTCTTGATTGAAAAGTAAACTTCTGTATGAGCATTACTCAGGGTTCCTGCAGGTTTCACCAACTCAAATGCAAGACTTTTTAAGACCACTTTGAATAGAATTTAAGACCTATCTCACGGCAAGAAAGTATGAAGGAAAACTGCTATGAAAGAAGAAATACGTACATGAAATGTATTCATGTTCAACATAAGAACATTGTACAAAATGGTATAAGAATGCAAACTTAAATTGATTATAGTCTATTATCAATTCAGGTTAAGAAACTAGTGTTGCTTGCATCCTATTTTAAAAAAGGCATTTATTTTTATACTCTACTAAAATGAAACAAAAAAAGGGTTTGATTCTATTAATTTTGTCTTTTTTATTGCACTTTGGCTGCAGATTCCTGTGTAGCTTCAGATCTGAGTTGTCTTATTAGTAAGCCTAATTTATACTTTTGTAGCAACACTATTTTTATATAATGGCAAAGAAAGGATTCAGAGTCTTTTCTTTTTTTCCTGTGTCATATGTGGCAGCACTGTTCAAGGTTTCTTGAAAACATTACCCACTGTAGTATGTGACGTGTGAATAAACTCCAACTCTTTATCAACAACACTGTTGTGTAACTTCAGTTAAATACTTGTATGTGTGTAGATTAGAAAGAGGTAAGATAAAGGATCTGCAGTATTTTATGAAGTATTCATCGTACAAAGGTCAGTTTTAGAAGTAGAAGTGTGTATTTACCTGTCAGTAATGGCTATGCCTCTCTATTTGGACTGGTAGATCTCGGCAGAGTGGCAACTTTAAAAGTAGCTCTCAGTTCAAAAAAGGTTGGGCACCCCTGTGCTAGATCGTTTACTTCCTGGGTTTTAGGCAGCGGAAGTGACGTAATCGTGGAAGTAACTTTTTTCTGCAACTTTTGTATTAAAGGTTTACCCTAAATAGAGGTTCATTAACGAATAATGAGATCATACTCTATAACAACATTAAAATGTGTGAAATATACTTACATTTCAATAATAATAGTTTGATTATTAAATAATTAACATCTAAGACGGTGGGTCCGACCCTTCCTGACCTTAGACTTATTCCAATGTCCGGTCGAACCACACCTTCTTTAGTTTTGACACCTCGGTTAATATCTTTTACCTTTTTCTGTAAGTTCTGGTGACTATTAGAAGGGAGCCTAACCCCGAGGGTGCCGTTCTAGAGGTGGGGCACCCCAGTTGTACTAGTGTTTCCTGCCACTCGTTTTTTAGGGTCCTGGTGTGCTCCTCGGATCAGGTTACTTAGGACGTCTCTCGACCCTGGTTTCATTGCGCGCTTTCGATGGTAGTTCATTGTGTGATGGTGGCGGTCCCCTGAGTTTTAGGACGTCACGTCTCGGCACCAGGGGGACGAATTCTCGGTCGTGTCAGGCTCCGGCAGAACTTCAAACGATCTCTCCGTAAATATCTACTAGGTCTCTCCTAACCCCTCCTAACAGTAGTACCAGTCTACTTTGGTTTTATATGAAAAACATTTTGAGTTGATCTGCACAAACCTCCTCCTTTCCCTTACGACCAGTCTCGTAGGTCTCTCGATTTCGGTGTGGAATGAGACTAAGAACCCCAACTTTCTTGTGAGTACTCGTAATGCGTCCGACAACAGACGTTCCAAGTGGTTCGAGCTGTAGTAGGAAATTTCTCGTGAACTTATCTTACCTCTGGTACAGAGCACTCTAATACTTCCACTGATTGGACGAAGGTAGCCCGTTCTGAACTTTCTAACGTACTTTGCATAGACCAAGAATAGTCGTACTGTTACTAGGGTTTGTGTGGCGGGCCCCCGTGTGCTTCCTCAACGAAGCATTTTTCGGTAAAAGTTCCCAGGACCTCACGGATCGGTCAGAGGGTCTAGAGTTGGGGTATCTTTCAGACAACCTCCCTTCAACTTTCCAGACACCAACGGTGTCGCTGTCGGGTTGTAGTGACGAGATCCTCCTCTAGACGGACCTCCTCACCGGGTTTTATGGGTCGTTGTCACACACTTTGGGAACACTTCTGAATGTCTTTTGCAAACTGGAGACAGTAACGGTGTTTTCCCATAATTGTTTCATAACTCTACTTGAAGACAATAACCTGGTTTATGAATAAAAGGTGGTATTAAACGTTTATTTAAGAAATTTTTAGTCTTGTATCACTAAAAGACCTAAAAAAAAAAGAAGAAAAGAATAAAACAGAGGAGTATAACTCCATAATTGGATCCTCTTTAATGTCCGGAGTAGACAAAATTCACCCTCCTTGAACGTGTTGAACCACCCGACTGCTTTTTGAAAAAACGGGGTGACACATATATATATATATGCCATAGGATTTACAGAAACCCAAAATAGGTGTTTACGTTGTGTTTATCC